GCGATGTAATTGCGGTGCAAAATATAAAACATTATGTGAAAAATCCTTTATTAAATCTTCATTAATAATTATAAACAAAATAATCGTCAAATCTTGAGAGAATGAACTGATTTTTGTTATATCTATTTATCAACGATCATCAAAATATGTATATCAATGCTTACTAATGCCTAATTATTTCAGAATCTTGTAAATGTCTATTAATGCCCAAGCAAATTTCATTTTTAAATTTTCATTAATTTTTGCACTCTACTTTAGCCCAAAATATGTCTAACAAGTATTTGATAAAAAAGAATGTAAAAAAAGGAAAAAATTTTTCATTTTTTTTGTCGGGAATCAATGTGTTGTGAACCTTTTTACTACTATAAATTACTAAGTACATATTTCACTTTTCCCAATTTGTATTACATCAAAATGCCCTTAGCTGTTTATCTCTCATTCTTTACTTTGCACTTATCGGTCACGAAGCCTCCTCCATGTCGCGTTTGTGTGCAGATGTGCCAGCATGTCCGAGGACGACGCGCAGGAAGCAGCCAGAGAGGAGATCGAGAGACAAGGGTCTCTTTACGTGTTCCCGGGTACCGGTCGCCCCAGCTGCGCGACGTCAACGTCGTCATCGTCGACGTCGACGTCGACGGCACCTCTTCAACCACCCCCCATTAATCCTTTACGGTGGTTCAACCGCGACAAGCAACGCGGCGATGACGACTGGCACGACGGCAAACACGGCGTTGACGACTACATCCGCGAAGATCAGCAACGGCGACGAAGACGAGGACGCTGTAGAAGAGGTCACCTCGCCAGCGAGGAGAAAATCCGTACTGAGGACGCATACCAGATCGGCGAGCCATGGCGGTATCCTGGCGGATTGTACGGCCGGGTCGCAGACCTATGGGTCCTTCCTGGGCCCGCTGACGACGGTGGGAAGCGCGTCGGCCGCGGGTCGACCGTCAGCGCTCAAGAAGTCGGGTCACCAGAGAGCCTTCAGCCAGGGTCAAGTGGCGGACGTGACGCAAGGCCAGTCAGCCGTAACGGGACACCATCGCGTCGGCTCCAGAACGGACTTCATCCTGCCACCGGGCCACAGGGAAGACGGCAGCAGGCCACCGACTGCCGGCAGGATGCCTTCCTTTCGCGGTCATTCCCGTCAGGCGTCCAGGTATGAAACAAAAAAATGCAGGAAAATGTTAATAATAATAAAGAAATTTGAGAAACTGAAGCAAAATGGAGATAAAATCGATTTATTCGATGGATGATTAAATAGTAATGTAAATAAAATATTAATAATTAATGTAAAACCCATTACATATCATTACCCTTTGAACAGAATTCTTTATAAATTTATATTTTTAATTTTGTGTAATGTAAAAATCTTTAAATCAGGCACGCGAAATTAATAATAGAATTTTGTCATAAATTATAGGTCGTCCTTCACTCTTAATGATTATCGATAAAATTGTTAAACTAATTAAATTTAATTAATCTGTTAAAATTATCAATCAATTATCTATTGCGAACCCTGACTTACACAACTTACATACTTTTATATTTTTCTACTTATAGGTATACTTTTCACCGAAATTGCTGATCTAATAAACGCGAATTTGTATAAATTTATATGAAATTCGAATTTGAATATTTCATACATTCATACATTCATTCGCGAAAAGTAAAGCGTTCAATTTCGAACGTTACGATTATTCGCAGATCGGAGTCTATCTATACGATAAGACGTAGCGTCGCGCCTCCCTGGTGGAGGAGACTATGGGCTCACTGTTTCGGTCCGCTGCCGGAGGAGCCCCGTCTCAGGACAATAGTGCCGAATCATTTGGTTCCTCCGAAAACTCCGAAGAGCCAGCATCCCAACGGGGATCGGGCGGACAACAGGTGAGAGCGCGTAGCGGAAACGACCTGTATGCGAAGGTGAATTCGCACGATCGATCGTTTCTCACGATGTACGTTTCTTCAGGGTACGCACAACAAAGTACACGGCGTTGACCTTCCTACCTCGCAACCTGCTCGAGCAGTTCCACCGCGTGGCCAATTTGTATTTCATCTTCATCGTGCTGCTTAATTGGGTGCCAGCGATAAACGCTTTCGGCAAGGAGGTTGCTATGATACCGGTGATGTTCGTTCTCGGCGTCACGGCGCTTAAGGACTTCTTCGAAGATCGCCGTCGTCTCGCCAGTGACCGGCGTGTGAACAACTCCACCTGTCGCGTCTACGTTAGGTGAGTCGACAAGCGAGTGCGGCATTGTGGCTGTCACGATGAAATACGCTATAGCGTACGGATCTAACAAAAGTATGATTTCCTCTCCCCTCGCCCGACTTTCGCGCAAAACCTGTATGTAATTCGACGTTTACGGCTATCGTAAAAAAGAGTTAATATAACGTTACGCGTCTTCGAGTTCAGTAAAAGTGACATTAGCGGGCTTCGATCGGGCGCGATAAAACGCATAGGATAGGATGTCCATTATTGCGGGGAAGCGTGATAAAGAGATTCAGATAATGGCCGTGAAATATATATAACGAAAGAAATATATGATTATTATGTGTAATTTTTAAATCAATTTTTCAAATGCTTAAATATATCTCTCTCTAGTGGATAGAATTTTCATGTTCAGCAAATATTACATATTTATATGCTTTCGATCTCGTAATATTGTTTTCTGAGCAGTATATAAATTGCACTTTTTTATTTTAAAAAATGCCCACGTTTTTGCCGAGCATTATTTAATAGTATATAAAAAAAAATTAACATTAGTATCGAAAATGATTAAGCGCGATTGAAACATAAAATCAATTTTTATGTGAAAACTAAGAACTGAGTCATCGAGTCCTCCGTCTTGTTTTTGCACGATTACAAATAATTCTCAATGTGAAATCTAAAAAAATAACATAATAATAATAATTGAATTTGAGAGCTTTAATTTTATCTTTAATAGATGACGAGTTATTATTTCTAGATTTGATATATGTGAGAAGAGATTCGCGTATGAACGAATTGACGTTTAATTTTTCAACCGGCGTCGGCCTTGCTCGCTTATCCTTGTTCCGGCACCGCGTTTCAGTTAGAATCCTTGCAACGGAATCCGATAGATCGATTCCAATAAGACCGACAATTCCAGATATGTGGGTCATGTACACGCGAATGCGCGCGAGTACGGAGCGAGCAGTCCGCATGCATGCGGTCGAACATGGAGAAGAAAGTGTCCCCCGCACACCATTCTTTATCCGGGCGAATATTCCACGTCATACGCAACGCGCGACGCGCAATATTGCGTTCTAATTCGTTCGACATTGCGTCGACGTTGTTTTCGTTTAACGTCAACCCTAATTGATGCAGTTGCAACGAGTTGCAGACTAGCCGCGACAAGATCGCCATCGATGCAAACAGCGGGACGACAATTAGATAACGTATCGTTGTTGCGTTTAATGTGCGGTTCGAACATGTGTGTTTATTTCGCCGCTTATGCATCCGAAATGGCCAGCGATGCGATAGCATTACAAAGGGAAGGTTGTTGTACACGCGATCGAACCAGATAGAATTCGTCGTGGACGATACGCTTGCGCTGATCAAAGCGTATATACACGTGCCACGTGGTTGCTTATAGCACGAGGGTAGCTGATCTATAGTAAAACCAAGGGGAACGAACTTCGAAATGTTTCGTGACTTGGAACTATTTTAGAGATACTAAATAAATCTGTTAATGTTGAATTAAATGCCATTTTACTTGGCTCAAAAACTAATTTTTATAAAATTTACTTTTTTTTTTAATTCGTAAAAGGAGCTTTTTTGCAGTAAAGCTTACATTCTGCATCTGCATTTCTCACGAAATGGCGGAGAACGTTGGAAGATTTAGAAATTTATTCTAAAAACGTGTACCAATGCAGACAATAAAGAAAAAATTGAGTCTGAAAAATTGAAAGAAAATACAAGTAATCGATAAGTAATATTTTGTAACTTGAAAAAACTCATCTGCGCAACTGATGAATTCCGTCTCACGTATAATTACAATTATATCCAGTTGCCACATCAATCTGACTTAATCATTCGCTCGCCGCTTCGATCGTTCACGCAAACGTGGGCAGTTTTGATGAAACGCAGCGATCGTCACGAATCTTCGTTCATAATGCAATGTAATCGGAAAGTTGATCGATGACCTAGCAATTCCGATACAATATCTCCCCACAACGAAGATTTCGTCGGGCGACCTTGCCCTTCGGTATGTCCCTTCGTGTCGTACACGTCGATTCCCTTTCAATTTTAATTCGCGTTCCCAATCACGCTCGTGATTCCATCAAGATTGTTCTAGTGTTTGTACAGCAGTTCTGATTTTAGTTCGCGATTTTGAAATATCATTGCGATTATGATAAAAATATTATGTTATCGTGCAATGATAAAATATCTATACATTTAGCACACAAGAAAGCATTCTACTACTCGGCGCAAGATTCTATCGCGTTTCTTGATAGAAATCTTAGCGAAGAATGCGATAATTTATTGACAATAGGAAATTTCAAGAGATACATATCACGTTGCGTCACATCGAAATCTTTCATGTAGGATATATCGCGATGCGTTTCGAGGTAATCGACATAACAGGATCTTCAACGTGCCGCAGGCACGACGCACTGTCGACCGATGTATTCGCGTGCTCCTTATCGAAAGGACGATCGATTCGAATTACATTGGCGACTGTCAACGACGGTGACTCCTCGAGTTGTGACTACGCGTGCAAGCTAATCGCACACGTCTATCGTTTTCCTAACGTAACGTTATCCGCATAATGGTGCAAACGATTCCGCTAACTCTCTCTCTCTCCCTCTTTCTCTTTTCTTCGTGCTCCTTCGGTCAGGTCGATTCTAATCCTTCTCGTGCGCCGAAGACCTTGACATTCGCATTTATTACCATTACCCCTTTTTATCTCGTCATTCGCGGCGCGAACTGTACAATCTATCGTCGATTCCGCTCGTTAAACTATCGCGACAGTTTTTCCATCCATAATTATGCGTTTTATCCGCGTCTCTCCAAGAATCCACCATGTTCAGTCGATCAACATTATGAAATATTCTTAAGTTGCGCAACAGATCGAATTAATTGGCATTCACGGATCGGAGAAAAATTTCACCGAAGTAATTGGTCAGCGATGCAACAAAATTACTCCGAAAAATTTCGTCAAGTTTATTTCAGTTTTACTAGCATTTATCGTAATTTAATTTTTTTTAAATTGACGATACGAAAGATTGGAATTTTTTAATTCATACTCTTTCTCGACGTTTCTTCAATTACCGATATAATTTTCTGCTACCCGCCAAGACTGGTTTGGAACTCTGTCAAAGTGGCGAGTTAAATAGCAGAAAAGTCACTCTAGCTATCAGAATAAATATTGGAAGTGTCACGTAAGTCGCTAATCATCGCACTCGCCTCATCTATTTGACACCGATTGCGCGAATCGTACAACTATTGACCTTCGTCGATGCTTTCGTCGTCGTGACGGCGATTGGGTATGCTGTAGCGTTGAAACTTTTCTTAAACCCGAAGCCGTAAGACCGCCCACTCAAAATGTCACTTTAGAGAAGCCTCCTTTTTCGATAAAATCGTTAAAACGCAAATACCTTTTGCGACATAAATAACTTTAGAGCATTGTTACAGCGACTATGTTCCTTCGGTTCCTTGTTAATATTCTCATATTACAATGCGAAGTGTTTTTGGAATAAAATCTGGGATAAATCCGGCCTACGAAGGCAGACAGACGTATCCAGCCTCCTTCTTTCTCTCGCGGAGCTTTCGGAGTGCTATTAAACCGGCGAATGACGTCATCGGTTACGTCATGTGGGAGAGTATCGCGATACGGGTGTAAATGTATATATGTGCATATCCTACCCATCGCTTCTCCGAAACGCGTTCGAGGCCCTGAAATATCGGTGAGCGGTCAGGAAATCCATATGTAGAGGTTGTGCCATCAGATATTCCGTGGGAAGCTCTTACTATAAATCATGCGAAGCAAACGATAATTGTAAACGTATGATTTTTTTAAAGTCATTTTTTTTGTTTGCTGTTGTACTTGACATAAAGCAATACGCAGGTTCCCAGAATTTTTTCTATCAAATTGGAATGGTTTTTCTCTGAATGAAAATCTTTATTTTGATTTTTACTTATTTTCACAGCTTTATCGATGATAAATCTTACTTTTTTATTTAACTTTAAATTTTATAAACTAAACTTGAAAATAGCATTTCAATAATATTCCAATCTACAAAAATTTTTGTAACAATATTCAAACGCAGATATAAAAAATTTGTGATGAGAGATGATGTCGGAATAAATTGAAATAATCAATCATCTTGTAATTACGAGAAGATAAACGATGTAAACTTCACAAGTGCCTTGTTGTTTTTTGTTCTAATATTTTTTCCAGTACTGTGGAATCACTTAAACATATTATCAAACAAATATCAATAGAATATCAAGGTATTAAGTCGATATTGTTAACCTCTTGTTTCAGTAATATTGTAAGAATTTCGTGAATTTTGATAAAAATGAATGCATATGATGAATAGCTACTGAAGTCAGCCTTGAATCGTTATCTTTTGCGGTTTTCTACTGCGGTTTGAAAATTATTATCCTGAAATTATTATGCGGTTAGCGATAACAAATACCGTTCTGATTAACAACGTTGCCTATCTGCATCGAATTACACGCGGTTAGGAAACAATGTGTTTGAAAGAAAGAAATTAATGTTCCGAAGTTATTGAACAGTAAATAATCATATTGATTAGCTCATTTTAATGCAACATCGGAGAGGGAAAGCGATTATGCTGTTTACATAAGCACAGCGCGCCGTGGATAAAATCTGCTATGTACTTTATTGATCAGCGTTTAGTGGCTACTTTTTGCGATATTGTGTGTTACTCCCACAGATAAACGAAGTCATTAGATTTCTAGCTCACCGTTTCATCTGTATCATACATGTGGCGATTATTATATCGGGCAGATGTTGCGTATGTAATTGCATAATTAGCTCGTGTATTCGCACCACGTGCATCGAATAGCCGCGTCACTCCCTTGCGGAGGCGACGATACGAATCTGTAGCAAAAAGACGTTGCTTAATCGCGACATTGATACACGATATGATACGCGATGTATGCGTCTATAATTTACAATATGTCACACTAAATGTGACAAAAAGGCGAGCGGTACAAAAGCGGTACGGACAAAAGAAGAACAGTGTCTCCTTCCTCCACATTGTTCGCAAAAGCGATAAAAGAGTTGCCATTTGCATCACTTAGTCTCGTCTATAAAATGTGACCTTGTAACAATATAACACTCTCTCGTTCCCGAAATGAACGAGTAAACAAGCTTCGGTTTGTGCCTCGTTCAAATGTCAAACGATATTGTTTGTCTTTTTCAAGCCACGAAGAACATGCCTAATGTTTGAAGGTTGTCTCTGATGATCATCCTCTCGTCTTAATTTCACTTCGATTAACGAGAGCGAACGTGATGCGTTCAAGGTCGCACAGCCTCGCCGCTCCGTGGCTTCAATTAAAGAAATATCGCCAATCGCTACATGAGATCATTTCATCATTGCCGGAGAGTATTCGCGAGAGATGAATTTATTTTCTGCACACTTGAATCAGCCATGCAAGGCCACGTTTGTGTCGGCCTGTCGCGCGATTTCGGCTTGGAGTACGGAGAGTAATAAGAAATTACGTCTTTCTCTCGCAACTCCACTTCGTTCCGTGTACAGTCGTTCTCGTGCATTAATTCTTGACTTAATTGTTGCCAGACGGAAAGTGTTGACTCAAGTACAACGTTACATTTCGTGGATTGTTCATGGATTTCGCGATATACTTAATATTGTAACGCTGAAGTTGCGAAATTATTAGTTAATTCGAAAAGAAAGCGGCGATTATGAAAGAAGAATTTCTCGTCAACTCGTTAATTTTTCATTAATCACACAAAGTAATTTTTCCATTTTGGCATGCGAATGACAATTGCTTATTGTCGCTTGCACATATCACGCTGTACAAACGAAACTCATTTCGGTCTTAACAGACATTTGCATTCTTTGCTACGCGAAGCCGTGTGCAATCTCCATTTTTGCGGTGACGACAGCAGGGTAGCCTTACGAGTTCTTTTATGCAACGCAAGGATTTGTCGATTGCCTTCGCCAGTCCATTAAGTTAAATTCCGTGCATAATTTCATCGTCTAATTTCGTTTGCATCATTTTTTCCTTTAATAAGATAATACATTAATAAGAAAATAATAATAATAATAATAAAGAAATAGTGAATAATACGAATAATGTATCAAAGTTATTCGATTTATTTATTCAATCAGAGCACATGAAAACATCGTGTGTAATAACTCCAGCTTGTTAAGTGAAACAGACTGCGCTTTATTAAAGCGCTTTATTAAAGAAATGTAAACCCCCTTACTCGCCGGGCTCACAATCAGATCTTTATTGCGAAGCTACGCCGTGAAATGCATTTACGTAATTGCGGGTTGTGATGAAATTAAGAAAACGTCGCGGATGGTATAATCCACTTATTGTTGCGAACTATAATTACGTTATCACATCATCGTTTTTCACGACTACCGCAATATAATCGCTCGGTAGAAGTGACGCGTGAGAATGCTACTCTCTTGACTGAGATTTCTTGTGCTCTTGTTGCAGCGAGGGCGACAGATACATGAAGGTAGCGTGGAAGGATGTCAAGGTGGGTGATCTGGTTCACCTCTCGAACAACGAACTGGTACCGGCTGATCTCCTGCTTCTACGAAGCAGCGATCCTCAGGGATTAGCTTATCTCGACACGTGCAACCTCGACGGTGAATCGAATCTGAAGCAACGCCAGGTAGTCAGGGGTTTTCTCGACCTGCAAGACACCTTTCAGCCTTCCAAGTTTCGATCGGTGGTCGAGGTCGATCAGCCAAGCACTAGGACGTACAGGTAAACGGCTCGACGACGATAATTTATCGCGTCCGGTGCATTGGAAATTCATGAATTATTTCTCGTCATTTTTATGAATTTTTAAAAAGCTAGGGACTTTTTTTGCATTTTTGTCTTCCGCGTTTTAATATAAAACTCTGATCCCATAATTCATCTGACAGGCGCTTATCGCAGCGTCATTCGTTATCGCGATAACGTTTAAATGGAATTAACCAGATTATGAGTAATAACCGCTGACGCATCTGTTAGGTTCCATGGTGCCGTGGTACATCCGAACGGCGGTAGGGTGCCGGTGTCCACGGAGAATCTTTTACTCAGGGAATGCGTTCTAAAAAACACCGATTTTGTCGAGGGTATAGTCGTATACGCCGGTCACGAGACCAAAGCACTGCTGAATAACGGCGGACCGAGATACAAGGTAATGCGCGGAGATCAATTAAAACTAATTGAAATTTAATCAGATTAAATAATGTGAGTCGAAAAATACTCCGCTCGAAATGTAACTTGATTTTATTTCAGCGTTCTCTTCTGGAGAAGCAAATGAACAGGGACGTAAAGTGGTGCGTGGTGATACTTGTGGTATTGTGCGTGATCGGTGCTTTCGGTTGCCGATTATGGTTGTCCGCGTACATGGGTCTGTCGTTCGTGCCATTTCTGCCGGTGATGCAAGAGCCGATCTATGAGAGCATACTGACCTTCCTAACTTTTGTCATAATATTCCAAGTGATGATACCGCTAAGTCTGTACGTGACGATTGAGATGGCTAAGGTGGGACAGGTGTACCACATCGGCCACGACCCGGCTCTCCACGACACGGAAAGCGGCCGTAAGGCCGAGTGCCGCGCGTTGAATATCACCGAGGAACTAGGCCAAGTAAGTAAATGGCAATTTATATTAAATGAATTTGTACGAGGACAATATTTTATGTGCGATCAATATTACAAAAATTCTGCTGTTTGTCGGGAGAAGAGATTAATAATGTGGAGAAATATTATATTATACTTTTACACGTGTGTATTTTTTTATATGATTTCCCCCTAACATTTTTTAAATACTTAATTGATAATCACTTTAATTACGCGATAGATATTTAAGTGTTATCCTTAATCATTTTTAATTTCCTCGTATTTTTGGGATATGAAAGTATCTAGATATTATACTTGGAATGTTCTAATTGAATTACAGGTACAGTATGTCTTTTCCGACAAGACCGGCACTCTCACAGAGAACAAAATGCTATTCAGAAGATGCGCGGTGGGCGGGCAGGATTATTCGCATACAGGCGACAACGAGAATTTACATCTGTGTTCGCGACTTAAGGAAGACCTGCTCATAGGTACATTCCGACATCGCCTACAGGAGTTTCTTATTGTCTTAGCCACGTGTAACACGGTTGTCGTAAATTCTCAACCGCATCACGATATTATGAACTCTAGCGGTGTCATCGAGGAGCCTCAAAAAAACGGAGCTGGTTCTGCGAGGTTTGTATTAGATTAAGAAAAAGAAAAAATAAATACAAGGAAAAATAGTAAACAAATTTTTTACCAACGTGTCTTTTGTAAAAAAAAATTAAATAAATTTTACTTTCGTATCAATAGAGAAATTATCCATCTATAATATTATTGTCATTTTAATAATTTTTTCTTCTTTTTGAAGATTTTAATACTAAAATATTTAACAGAGTAATAGAAACGGATGGAAATTCATTTCCGACCGCCAATTCGCCACCGGTACCGATGTCTCCGAACAACAGAGCTATTCACACTTTATCGCCGATATCACCTGTAATTAGCACGGCCAACACGTTCGACGACGCGCCGAAATTCCTGTTTAAAATGTCCAGGTTAGTATCGCACAGCGGCAGTGTGGTGTAAGACGTAGAGATATTTAATACAGCGATATATTTGCAGACCGAAATTGCTGCATGTATCGTCGATACCGAGCCTGAGCATCGGACTATTGGGACGTAAGCTTTCACCGGATGGACAAAAGAAACGCAGTCCGGACGGAAAAAACGGCGACGATTTGCTACAGAGTCCGGCGATCTACGAGGCGGAAAGCCCGGACGAGCTGGCACTGGTGCACGCGGCGCGCGCTTACGACATCAAGCTGGTGAAACGGACACCCCGTAGCGCGATCGTGTCCTTTCCGGACAAATCAATGCTCGCGTTCGAGATATTACACGTAGGTATATTTCAACGAGTCACTCGCGAGAACGTTAGCGGAATTCGGAATTTGTGTCACTTGTTCGCGACCGCTTGCAGGTATTGCCGTTCGACTCGAACAGGAAGTGCATGTCGGTGCTGCTCAGGCATCCTCACACCGGCGAGATAGTGTTGTACAGCAAAGGCGCCGACACGACGATGCTGCCGGCCCTGTCGGCGAGCGACGAGAACGTCGTCGCTTCGCGCAGCATCCAACAGTACCTGCAGTCGTACGCGCGTCAAGGATTACGCACGCTGGTGATGGCGAGGAGAACGCTGACGCCGCAGGAGTACGAAGCGTGGCGGCAGAAGCACGACGAGGCGGAACTGGCGACCGAGAATCGTGAACGTCGCATACGCGACTCGTATGCGACATTGGAGTCGCACTTGACGCTACTCGGGGTAACTGGCATCGAGGATAAACTGCAGGCCGGCGTGCCTGAAACGATGGCCGCTCTGGTCGCCGCCGGGATCGTCGTGTGGGTTCTGACAGGTTTGTAGAGGATCGCGTCATTGCAGTAAGCCTAAGCGCAAACCGGTTTAACGTCGCATGTGTGCTATACTATTTTTACGATCATCGTAAAGAGATATGCGAGGCGGTTTGCATTGAATCGCAAATGATTTATACATAGCTCACTTTACACCTATACGTTATTACATAAACATCGTTACGTAAAACTATGGGAAAAAACTATAGAGACATAGAAGCCGTAATTAGTGCGCGTTAATGTCAAAGCGATTGTGCATTTTGTGTCATGTTACATGGTCACTTCTATCTTTTCAGGTGATAAGCCGGAGACCGCAGTGAACGTGGCTTACTCGGCGCGGCTCTTTTCACCGGCTATGCAGCTACTGCAGCTGCAGGCGCGATCGAAGTCCGTCGCTGAAACGCTCATACGCGGCTATCTGGAATCTGCGCGGAAGGAGAGTGTGAACGGCCATCCGCAGTCAGGCATGATGGGCGTCGCGGATCCCGCCGGCATGTACAATCGCGATTACGCCGAGAGGGACGCGCACAGGATCGGCAGTCCATGGCCGCGACAACGCGCGCTTGTCGTGGACGGTAAAACGTTAACTGTGATCCTGGATCCGCGATCAGGTTTGACGGGCCCCTTCCTCGAACTCACAAAAACATGTTCTAGCGTCTTGGCCTGTCGCGCCACGCCGTTGCAAAAGGCAAGTATAAAATTAAAATTAATTTAAATAAATTAATTTTGATGAATTGTTATGTAAAAAGCATGAAGGTAATATTGTGTAAAACTTTGTAAAATATGTTACAAAAGTGTCTAAACTATTAGAGCTACTAAATTGAATATTTTATTACGATATCGGTTAATTTAACGACAAGTCGACAAGATAATATATAATTTATAGCATAAAAAAGTGATGTCACTTCAACTCATCGTTAATCAAAAGAAATACTGTTAAAAAAAGTAATATAATTTACTGTGCATTGCAGGCATATATAGTCCGCATCGTTAAAAAGCAATTAGGAATGAGAACATTAGCAATCGGCGACGGCGCGAACGACGTCAGCATGATACAGACCGCCGACGTAGGCGTCGGTATCTCGGGACAAGAAGGCACGCAAGCCGTAATGGCGGCGGATTTCGCGATTTCCCGGTTTCCTATGCTCAGCCAGCTTCTACTTCTGCACGGACACTGGTGCTACGATCGTCTCGCCAGAATGATTTTGTATTTCTTTTACAAGAACGCTACCTTTGTCTTCCTCATATTCTGGTTCCAAGTAAGCATCGAAGAATGAAAAAAAAAATTATAAATTTAAAATAAAATATATGTAGATAAACGGAAAAAAAATGTTTTCCGCAAAATAGTTTTACATGGAAGATTTATGAATACTTGGATATTTGTGATGATGTACATTTTTTCTCTTTTTTTTGTAGCTGTACTGCGGCTTTTCCGGTACCGTAATGATAGATCAAATATATTTAATGCTATACAACTTGCTGTTCACCTCGCTGCCGCCCCTTGCTATGGGCATTTATGATCGAGTCGCCACACCTAACGTGCTACTTTCAGCGCCAGGATTATATACAAGGGGACGCTTGGGACTCGTTTATCAGTCACACTCCTTCTGGCTCACTATCATCGATGCACTTTATCAAAGTATTATCATTTTCTTTATTACCAAAGAGGTTAGTGCAAATTCGAGTAATTAGAATCCTAATCGTCGTGGTATACGATAAGATTGCGATATATTGCTTTTTATTAGGTTTATCACGATTCGATTATCGACATATGGGAATTCGGAACAACTATTATGACGGCGTGCATTGTCGTCATGCTGGTTCACGCTGCCATAGAAATTAAGTCTTGGGTAAGAAATAAAAATACATAAAGGAAAAGTAGAATTTTAGACATGCATCATAATTTGTCTCTTTCAGACTATAATTCATCTTGGTGCCATCTTGGGTTCCTTGGGCATATTCTTCGGATTTTGCCTATTTTACAATTACGTTTGCGTCAATTGCATGGGTCTGCCCGGATCTTACTGGATAATGGAAAAGGCCATTACTCATCTTACGTACTGGTTAACAGTGGTACTTGTGTCTGTCCTTGCGCTAATGCCTAGGTATACTCGTCTTACGTTTACCAAGACTGAATTTCCGCTAGATTTTCAACTATTTTGTATTTAATTTAAAATTAATTTTCTCGCTCTTCTCTTGTTTATTTCAAATTCTATAATTCTGTACAGTTCAATTTTAAAAGTAATATACGTTTCATCTTTTTGCGATTTGTATATTAAATACGCATTGACTTAAAATTTTCGTGCTATTTCTTGTCTGTTAATAATTTGCTATCGATTTCGGATTATCTCTAATTCAACCGAGAAGTAATTTCGACGAGTGTTATATTGAATGACACTTTTTTTTGTTAATGACCTCAGGCTTGTATATAAGGCGTTACGATCCACTATCGCACCAGAGGCTATGCAGGTCGTCTCGAGGCAGGTTGCCGCGAAAAGCGGTAGTCCAGTACGTCGGCAACGTATCAGTAATCAGAGAGGCGAAGTCAATTTTATCGCTGGATGGTCACGCTCTTCCCAACACGCTACCATCAGGTATGTTGTCCGTTACACTCATCGCTATCCAATTATGCTAAACAACGGTCATGAGTACCGTATTGTTCGCTCTTCCCTGTGTAATGTGTCATTAATTATTTATTGCAGGCCCGGCAGTTACACAAGCAAAAGCAACGCTCTCACGACTATCGTCGCGTGAGACGCGAAATATAATCAGATAAAGTGTGCCTATTTCACTAATCTAGAAACCCGACCAAAAAAAAAAAAAAAAAAATAAGAAAAATCGCCGAAAAAAGAGAAACCGACTTTCCGCTGTGACAATCTTCTTTGAGAATTGGTGTTTCTTTACCGATTCAGAAAGGATCTTCTGAAAGTCGTTTGCACTGACAGTCTTGATTAATTATTCCTGTTCTTAGGTTGCATAGTTGTAGTTACAATAATGTTGACACGAAAGAAAGGAAAACTAATCATGACTGTGATGCAGCTGGGCATAAAAACTCACTATTGAACTTTACACTATAGATTATTAAGAAGCGTCGAAACTTCGTCACGTGCGAGATAATCGTGCGCGTCATCGTGCGCCCATCGCGGCGTGCTTGTTATCAAACGCGTGATAACGCTAACGTTTCATTGCCATTCTCGAGTTATGATTTCGGTTGATTTAAAATCGCGTGGCCTTAAATCTCAGATCGTTCGTTGCATTTAATGGCTGTGACTTCTAGGGACCAAGACTGTGTGTGCATAACTTAATCAGACAGATCGGATTCGAGTGCAAGTCTATGCTGCGCTATATCAAATATTTTATTTTTATTTTCTTTTTTCGACATAGAATTTCACTCGAACGTGCATACGTAACTTTTGATTGGATCGTATGGAAGATTAACTTCAGAGACGGACGCATATCGAGCGTTTTGTTTGTATACCTTTGAAGAATATGTGTACAAAGTTGTGAAGAGAATGCAAAGTATATATGTGTATATGTAGGTGTTCCGCGAGCGCAGTTCAATCGCTAATAGATTTTATTCAATCAGTTTATTTTCTAAATAAACTTTTTTAATCAAGTTAACGTAAAATATTACATAATTCGTAAAGTAAATAGCAGGAAGCAGGCGCGGACGTTTCAAGAAACCATGACTGCGCCGAGATTCACTATTTCCGGTCGATCTGCGATCGATGGAACGCCTGATAAATTATAATATGATGACGTTATATACGTGCTTTGTTATATTTATTGTTGTGTTATCAACTGTAATATCGGAGAAAATATTGTGAAATATATCAATTTAAAGCTTTTAATTTGGATAATTGATATAAATATATATATTGAATGTTATATCGATACCATGTTACACGTGCTATCTGATAGTATTTTGATAATGTGCGAATTATATATTGTGTGCGTTTACCGACGTAAGGAGAGTGTTGCGCTATTAAAAAACAAGTCAACTGTCCTCTGTTTGTATCTTGTTTCTGCTAATCCATCGCTTTCATCCATTTCTCCCTTTATGAACATCAGATCAGCAAATTCCACCACGCAACTAGTATTAACATCTAGTATACCCAATAGAATTCAATCAATAAGTTTTGCGAGCCAAGCCAAACCGAACCGAATAATGATTTTTGCGTGTGTACATATCGCTTTTGTATATAGACAGATACATTTCTTAATAAAAACAATAAAAAGAAATTGAAATCAAACAACAATATAATTGCCAATTGATGTAAACAACGGAAACCGATGAAAAGTTAGAGATTAAAATCGAGAATTACAGATTTATCAGAATTCTTAGAAATTACAGATACAGTTATCAGGGAATTAATTTACGAGATAATCGACAATGGTGAAGGAACTGGGCAATGTTCGCTAACAATGAAGATACCGTCTGCCTGTAGTGCATGTAGTGCCAAAGTAGTTAAGCGAATACAACGATTATGAGCACCACTGTGTCATGCGGAAGAAAGAGATGTCGGAGGGGATGGAGCCGAGAGGGTGAAGGTGGAGAGCGCAGAGGATATCGCTGTGTGCGGCAGCGTGCTGCGGCAGCTGTTGCCTCAGTAGTGGCTGGTGCAGGTCAGGCGGTATATTCGTCTGTGTGATGACGTGAGCGTGGGACGTTCTCTCACGAGTGTGCGTCGTTTACCTTAAGATTCGCGCGTGTCGTTCTCTATACTGACACTTCTCGCTAATAAGAGAGCGTGAATCGATCGAATCAAGAGAGCAAGCAGGAGAGCGAGCGAACGGTTGGTACAAATCGTAAGTTCCACTTGCGCGTTGCAGCTCGCCCTTTGTTCCTTTCTAGATTTCTACCTGCACAAAAGCAAACGCGGAACTATCGCCTTTTCATTGTGACGTTTCCTTTTCCGTCTATTTCGAACGCTCGGTTATAACTTGCAGTCATGAAATTATTACACAGCTGAGAGAGACACGTTCCAACAGCTGATTCCCTAGTGTGTTAATAAGTGAAGTAACGTGAGAATATAATGAATTTTATGGTCGCGTTTGTGCGATAAGTAATCGCGCGCGTGATGCAAGGTCAAAAACTGATTACCGATCACACGTGTCCAATTTTACAGCTAATATTTTGTTTCATATTCGCTAAAAGAAGTGTATAAAAAAAATAACTGTACTGTAATACATGCGGCGTTTAAAACGCACGATAAGATACTTCGCCTCACAAAATCGATTACGTCTGTAATTACGTTGGAGGACAAATTTTACTGTGTTATATGTACAAGATTACATCGCAACACGTTTTCTACTTTTTCTTTACTTCGCGATTCACACTATTCAATTATTAAAATGACCGCCTGACCGCGTTTCAGCCGGCAATTCTGTGTCACGTTAAAATTTAATCTAAAAATTCTTGTGTACCTTTTCGAAGCGCTGTTTATTCAGTTGGTGAAGATTGTCGCATTTGTCAAATAAACGAAAATAGAATTAAAGATTTTTATTAATAAAATCCTCATTGTCTTCACTAGATTCTTTTTACTTAAAAGTAAATTACTGTTTTAACAATTCTGAATTTTATCTGATTTTCCTAAACAAAAATGAATGATTTTATCTAAAATAGACAGGAAGGCGGCGGCAAAGCTTATGCATCGACCTAACATATTCAGTACGCGTGACTGTGTCATGCTTTTGCTGCCTTCAGACTACAATGACGTCACGAGAGTGATACCTAGAATTTGCATCGTAATATTTCCGAAGATCAATCGAGATTAACGGTCACCATAAATGATGCACCGATCATATCTTAATAACGTGACATATTTGCATATATCTTCATAATGATAACACGATAATGCGAACAAGGATGAGTTCTGTAAGACACAATGCGAAATATGCCGCGGAGAAAAAAAAAATTAATTCCACAAAAGAACTATTTTCTGAACAGCAGAATAAAATTAAAATTTCTTGCATCCTTTTATTATTATTTGTTCTATTAATAAATCTACACCTACATTCACTTTATATTGGTTATTTACGCCCGCGAAGTAACCGTGACGATTGCAATTAAATGTCAAATGTGAAAGAAAAACGTTAATTAAAAACTTAATTTCTTTTATGCGTTTTATCATTTCTACTCTCTCTACTACAATTTCTCTTCTTTTTTATTTTATTTTAACTCAAAAGTTGAAATTTCTGTAAACTAAATAAAGAAAAGAAAGTTTAGAAATTTGAGTCAATGAGTTAATCGATTTCGGAAACTAGAAATTCAATTTCACATAGAATGCATTTCTATCAATTTTTTTATGCATCTATTATTATCTACATGTATTTTGCACAGTAAAATTCCTTGTAAGAGAAATTGAAGGACTGAATTTCTGTTTGATTATACCCGTTGCGTGATGAAACGTCTATCCTTTAATTGGAAAAATCAGCAACTCTACACTTGCGGATAAATCATGCGATATGCAATGTGTCCTTGGTACAGGCAACATTTCATATTACGCGATCTATTTTAAAAGAATTTTTCAAACGGATCGAATTTTTCTGCATTAGATTCACCGGACTCAAAAGTTTGTCTTCGAGGACATTTCAAAGAGATTGCCACAAAAATAATGAATTGTGACGAAGAGTTAAAAAAATGCATTATTTCTAATAAAGAAGGAAACTGACAATTAGAAAATAAATTTGAATTTATTGTAAGACCTTTGAAGAATCGTGAGAAAAGTATTTCTTAGCAATGTCATTTCGAGAAAATAAACTTGCTACACTTTCGAAATACAAATGGTTGTTTATGTTTCGAAACAATGATATCAACGAGGTGACTCGAATGCCGAATCAGGATCCTCTCGTATTATTTTAAAGATTATAAATTCTCACGAATCGGGTGTAAATCCGTAACTCGGAATGAATTCGCATTACCGAGAAAAACTTCTACCGTGCAAATTTATAGAACTGTTAAAGTCCGATAACGTATGATAAAAGACATCGATAACAAAATGTTAATAAATTTAAAGGCGTTGAAGTGACGAAGATACATGAGATTATGTCGCAAGTTCACCTCGCATAGTCATGTGAGATAAACTCACCTAACACGGTTCTTTCTGCAAAGCAGCGAGAACGAACGACAATTGCATTCGGACAATAGTTCTATTCATAGCATAATTGATTTTCGCGAAAAGTGCGTGTATTGCAACTAACGAGTTCGCATCTGCTGATACAGCTTACGTAATCGCGTCAGAGGCGGCGTGTCAAAGATGACCTTGGCAGTTTTCTATCGACGGACCGTTGATTCGGTTGCATCGCGGAAGCGAAGTTGGAGATGATGCCGACGAGAAGCTGCCACGCCTGGTCTTTACTTTGAGACGAGATCTCCCAGGGAAAGGGAGATGTCACGAGTTGCCTACCCGCGAAAGTGCAAGCGTAGTGCGAAGAGTTGAGAGAGAAAGAGTAACCACGTGGAACACGCGCCGGTTGAGAGATGACGGTCACCTACACTGCCGAAGTAGCCACTTGTAGAGGCCTTGGTTGCTTCCTCAAACTTTTACTAAGGTGAGATCACGATATTGCCTTCTTGTTAATACTTGGAATTAAAATAATTGTCAATTTAAATTTAAAAATATTATCTAAGTTATCTGTCAATGAAGATTTTTAGATTTTTCCTAGTTGGCGGAATTATCGAAGCTGTTATTTATAAATATCATAATATTCAATTTTTTCTTTATTTATATTTTTCCTCTTTTTCTCTACATAATGTTACTTTTTTCTTTCTACAATATTCTGCATTTTTATTTTCAGCTTTTGATGCACCGTGCGCGTTAACCTGTTAATTTTAATACATCGCTACTTTAATTTCCAATATTTTATTGTCCATTTATCTCATTTTCCATTTTTATTTTTTTTTTCTCATTTTCCGCTTACGATTCGAGCAATGCATGCAGTTGCATGCAATAAATATCAAGTAAATTGATGTGCAAATATAAAATTTTCCTTCTTCACATTAACTTTTTCACTTCGTGCAAAACTAACATGTTGTAGACATAGTCAATAATGATATGCATGTAAATCGTCGGTGTTCTTGAGAATAATACCGCAAGTTACGTTGGAATACTTCCAATCTCAGGGGTGACGAATGTTTCCAACGTGCTTGCATAAAAATACGACACCCGTCATCCAAACTTGACACACTTCGAACATAACGACACTAACGTGGAGAGACTAAACGAAGATACGGTCTATTGAGGCAGGATTATTGACTTTCAGCTCGATAACAGCACGCGAGTATTTGTTATCGCTTCTTTATTACTGTGCAATGTCTGCATGTTTCGAGCATGACTAATTCTCCGTCAGACCCTAGAGCGCACTATCTTTATTAGAATTTCTGCCAAGAGGCGCGCGATTTCCCGACAGATCGCTCATTAAGAGGCCATCACGGATAGTCATCACGTTCTTCTCGTGACAGATGTTCTCCGCTCGTCTGATTTACGAGCTGTGCGATTTGTTTCAGATGGCGAGCAAGCGTTTACAAACTCGTCTGGATCGATCTGGCGCTCTTCCTCTTCATCTACTACTCTTTGTCTGGTGTCTACCGATTACTGCTGAACGAGGAACAGAAGAAGACGTTCGAATCCGTGGTGGCGTATTGCAATGCATACAGCGATCTCATACCGTTGTCGTTCGTCTTGGGTTTCTATGTCAGCATCGTAATGACTAGATGGTGGAATCAATACATGGCGATACCATGGCCTGATAGTATCGCGGTCTACGTATCGTCCACTATACACGGAAATGACGAGCGCGGTCGCTTAATGCGCAGGACGATCGTTAGGTACCATTTAAAAAATGTATAAGCTTGTTATTAGAATAACGTCAACGAATAATGTTACGAATAAAATTCGTAATAATTTTTTCCTTTTCTTTCAAATTACAGAATGAGATTGATTGATCTTTATATCGAAATATTGATATACACATCTGATTATAATTATAAATCAATATTAAATTTCTTATTAATTGTTGAATTTTATAGAAAAAGAAAGATAGAAGCAAAGACATCTTATCGTAAAGAGAAAAATGTTGTTTAAAATTATTTCGTATGAATTTTACCAAGAGTATACGAGTTTCACTTTTGACAAATCTACCAGATTTTTCTTTTCTTAGTAGACAGAAATGAATTCTGTTCATAGATACGTATGCGTTTGTCTGACTCTGGTTTTAACGATGGTTGCACCGCGGGTGAAGAAGAGGTTTCCCACTATGGAGCATTTCGTAGATAGCGGTCTGCTCTTGGAGAACGAATTATCGATATTTCAGAGCCTAAACACAAAATTTCCCAAACCGAGCAAACACTGGCTGCCTATAGTTTGGGCCGCGAGTATTGTGACCCGCGCTCGAAGGGAAGGTCGGATTCGGGACGATTTCGCAGTGAAGACGCTTGTTGACGAACTCAATAAATTTCGCGGCATGTGCGGCAGTATTTTACACTACGACACGATCAGCGTCCCGTTAGTCTACACACAGGTGAATTTACGCGCTATCTATTAAGTCAATAATTACGAAAGGCAATTAATACAGCAGGATGTGGTTTCTCAGAGGCAAATAATGATATAGAAGGATAAAAGTAAAAACCAGAAGCGCGATAAAAAAAGCAATTACACAAAAATCTCGAGAAGTCATGAACAAATGTTAGAGAAACGTATATTTACATGCTTAATGAATGTGTAAGAGAATCGTGCAATTTATCCTAGATATGAATCAGAATTTTAAATTTTGTTATTCTTTTTATTATAGGTCGTAACGTTAGCTGTATACACATACTTTCTGACCAGCGTAATGGGTCGTCAGTGGATTCAGAAGTCGGAGTCGAACATTGATATGTACTTCCCAGTGTTTACGACATTACAGTTCTTTTTTTACATGGGCTGGCTGAAAGTAGCCGAAACTCTAATCAATCCGTTCGGCGAGGATGACGACGATTTTGAAGTGAATTGGTTAATCGATCGCAATTTGCAAGTAAGAAATACTTTTTCTTATTGTTCTTGAAATATTAATAGCTAATGAATAAATAATATTGCGATTACTCACCGATTTGAAGGTAAGCTACTTAATCGTGGACGAAATGCATCACGAGCATCCTGCCCTCATACGTGATCAGTATTGGGACGAAATATTCCCCACGGAGCTGCCATACACCGCTGCAGCGCAACCCTTTCGCGAGGAACACCCTCAACACTCAACAGCTAACATACAATTATCCGCCGCGCAACAAGAACTGCAACCATCGTCGGTTAAAATCGAGGATTTGGCACCGGATTATCAGCAAAAGTTCAATCCCGATCTTGCTGATGATGCCGCGTCGGGAATACATTTCACTGTAACCGGCAAAATGTCTCGGTAAGTGCATGTTACTTTTCTGAAATTTCCAAAATAGTTTACTGAATATTTTTTGCTCAAGTTTATATTTATTTACATTTATCACTTTATATATTTTTAATGCAAAATCAGAAGTGGTACAGAAAGCACCGATCTTAGTAATGATGGATTAATAAGGTAACTTTCATTTTTTATCTCGCACTAAATTAATATAAAATGTAAAAGTTTATTAGAATTAAACGTGGAAAAATTATTCCGATAATAAAGATGTACATATGTAGTAATATTAATCATGCAAAACAATGTTAAATAATAAAATTGGATTTAATGGAAAAAAATTGGCCGCACATAATAAAAATTGCCAAACTCTGAAAATAAAAAAATAATGGGAAAGTTTAAAGAATCAAATCCTTTAAAAAGTCTTTATTTTTTTACTTTTTCTTGTACAGAAAATCAATTTCAATTTAAAAAAAATTGATATCGATTTTTTATATAAGGGAAATAATCGAGATAATAACTGGTTGCATTTATAATTTTAAGCTTTACTAACTTTTTATCAGGAGTGCCAGTAGAGTGAGTACCCGCAATCTCAGTGGTGGTTCAACTCCCAGCATCTTAGGTGGTTCGCTCACGAGGGTAAACAGCGTCACCAGTGTACTGAAGCGATTGTTTAGCAGAGAAGACAGGCCGGATGGTGGTCATACAAGCGATACTAAAACTCCAGGAAAGATTCCTCCTTCAAGTTCGGCTGCATCGTTACAAGTTCGCCCACCTGGTATGTCTCTAGTTTTATATTAAATATTGCATTAAAACAATGATGAACTTCTCGCTAACACTAGTACTTTTATTCTTATTTTGAAAATGATTTTTGTGGGAGAACAATAATAATAAATTTTTCACGATCTTCGTTATTTTTTATTTTTTGATAAATATATATATATTTATAAAATACGACGATGTTTTGATAAAATTACTTTATAAAGATGTCAGCTATTTAATTTTCTCATTTTTAAACTCTCTCTTAAGTATCAAGTTTTATTTGTACGAGCAAAATTATTTGAATTTACAAAAATAAGATAGAACATAACGTAAACATCGCAGGTGCAGGTGGTTCTATGAGGATAGGCGTCATCGAGGAAGTGGACGAGCAAATGACACTCACATCGTTAAAACAATCGAATGATAGCGGCAGACCTCATGTACAAAGTATATTTGCGCAAGGCCCGCCGCCGCCGAGTGATCCCGTCGACGTTCCCGGTGGCGCGCAATCTCGCAAACGAGAAATATTTTCTACGAGCGCACCTCCTTTTTCTACAGGAAAAGAAGGTCTAACGAAAACTGGAAGTTCAGGATCCGACAATATGCATGAAAGGCAAAGATCTTTAAGGTTGGTAACTTAATGAAAAGTCTGAGACGAATTTAAATAAGACAAGGCGATTTTCAAGAATTATTTCAGGATTTGTAAATATTCTCGAGATTCGATATGGATTATTTACAAATTTACTAATTTAATCTAACTAATCTAAAATTTTATTAGGATTCAAGATCTTAGATGACGAAAAGTGCTAAAATTTGTGTATAATAATTTCTAGTAGATATACATTTTGTTTTATTTCTTTTTAATCTTTGGATCATATGTAAATGATGATATAAAATGCATCCAAACGCGAATTTTTCAACAGCTCAAATTAATCTTAATTTTATTAGAAAAATACTTTTTTAGAAAATTATATCCAATTAGAGATTTAAATATCCTAAAAATTAAATTTTGCTAGAACTGCATTTTAATTAATATTAGATCTCTGTTCTTATAAAATCTAATTTAATTTCAGGACACAAGAATCCAGACACTCGATGCCATCAAGCGTAGTTTTCGAGCCGGCAAGTTACACTGAAAGTGGAATAAACGATGATGCAGCCAGTATAGTGAGCTCTTCATGTTCCAGTGAGACATCTCCAAACGAATTTAAGAAATTAAAAACTGAGAGAAAAGAACGAAGGCGTAACCGTAGATTTGTACGAAGCATTAGTGGGCAAATCAATGCACTGATCGGCAATCAGTCGAGTCCTCCCGATTCAGAGACCCTTTTGCTGACAGAATTAGCAGACAGATCGCGATTCTGCATGACGAGAAGCGAACACGAGGAAAGTGATCAGTAGTAGGAAAATAGGTTGTTATTACATCGAAAATGACTGGCCTAAACAAGCTTTAGTTTAAAAAATAGAATTGAAACAAAAAGTATGATCATACATCACCGCACATAAATGGCATAAATTTTTTACACGTTTTTGATGTACTTATAATACAATATCTCGTGAAAATTGTTCCATTATAATTATTATTAGTCAAGGTAAAATATAGCGATTATACAAGTATTATTTTTATGTCAATTGCGAAGTTTTCTAATTTAATTTCTTGACATCCTTTTGAACTCAGCAGGATAGCTTCTATAGCTTTAGCAATGTAAAGTTTGTAAAAAATTAAGAATTGTTTTACATGGGTTTAAATATGTACAGGATGATTATTATTGATACTATTGTACAACTTACGAGGAGCTTCTAATTAAAAAATAAGTTAAAAACTTAAGATTAAAATATTTTTACGAGGCCTTGTTTTATTTAGCACTTTTTTAAAGAAATATTTAAAAAATTGCAAATTTAATGATATTTTTACATTTAGTTATATTTCTTACATTTGTATGATTTTGTATAATTATTATATAAATATATGATTATTGTATAAATATATATTTATATAATATATAAATTTTATAATATATAAGTATATTTATATAATCATTATATAAATATATGATTTTGTAAAAATAACTTTGTATTGTCAAGAATAGATTTTCCTGTATAATGTAGCTCCACTGTTGTACAAATATTTTTTGCAAAAAGAAAAGAAAAAAATTTAGCAGATAAAATTTCAAGTTCCTTAGCTTATTTATAAATATAAAAAAAATAAAAATTTGATATTTTTTTAGGTAAATATATATAGTGAGAATATGTAATTATTTTTGCGTTAAGAACCAAGTGTAAGTGTAGTGTAACATTATTTCCATAATGTTCAAGAAATAAGATAAACCGAGAAAGGTGCTATAAATGGAAGCTCTTAATGCTCAATTGATATATTCAATTAACCTGATTTATACAACAGGTTACGAAAATAGGAGGCATCATTTTTATAAATTTTTCAAATTATTTACAAAGATGAATGACTTCAGATTTTTGTAAACAAAAAACAACTGTTGAATAAGAATTATTTAAATAAAAGGTGCTATAAAAACTTGAAATGTGCTATAAGTGAAAGCTCGTTAATGCCTAATGGATACATTTTTTAAAATTAAATTTATACAATAATGGTTATAAAATTAAGAAGCATTATTTTTTTAAAAATGTTTTAAATTATATACAAAAATGAATGACTTCAACTGTTGGTAAATAAAAAAACGCTGAATGTAAGGACTGTTTAAATACTTATCTAATTAAAATATATATCAAAATAATTTAATTTTTTATCTAATTTTTATGTAGAAAATTACATATAAACTTTTGAAAATTACATTGTGATGCCAAAAATTATATATAGAAAAATACATTAAAATATAATTTTTATATTTCATTTTGGTGTCACAAGAGCAATGTCTTATAGGCATATAAATGTAAATTATTTGAATGTTATTTAAATGACATTCCTCGATAACATACTTTTATTGATATTCTTTCATAAGTCGTTTATTTAAACAGTATTATTAAAATATAATATGTTTGATAAGATAAAAAGTTGGTTCTTTTTTTAGTAAAATATTATAAGTGTAATGCTCTTTTTATGTATTTTTGTAGTAAAATCACAAAAATAAAAGCATAATATTGCTTTTATTAATCTTTAATTAGATAAAATAGGAATTTTTAGCAAATTCATTTTAATAGTAATTAATAGTAAGCGTTATACTCTTAGCATTTTCTATTTATATGTATAAATACGTGTATTTTTAAATAAAAATAGAAAATAAAAAAAATTAATAGAAGCCAGAAAATCTCCATGAAAGAGGAAAAAATCAGCAAATTATTTTTTTATTACAAATAGATTAAAAAATTTAATAAATTATAAAAAAATTAACCGATATTTTTGGAAAAGTAATTTCATCATTGTTATATCCTTATGAAAAAATGAGAAATAATAGAAATTATTAGGACCTTGAATAAGTTCTCGCTGTTTTTTTGTTAAAAAAACATTAATTTAAAATATAAGGCTTACAATAACTTTACTCAAAGTATTGTCCATCATTAGAGACCACTTTCTCCCATCTTTCTGGCAGTAATTGAATCCCCCGTCGAAAAAACGATTCATCTTTTGACGCAATCCATGAATCGACCCATTTTTCGGTTTCTTCGAAAGAATGGAAGCGCTGCTCGCTCAAACCATGCGCTATCGACCGAAACAAGTGGTAATCCGAGGGGGCTATGTCCGGTGAATACAGCGGGTGAGGTAGAACTTCCCATTGAAGCGTTTCCAGGTAAGTTTTGACTGGTTTTGCCACATGTGGCCGAGCATTGTCATGTAACAAAATGACTTTGTCGTGTCTCTGCCCGTATAGTGGCCGCTTTTCTTTAGTAGCTCGACTCAACG